TGGCCAGAGGTCAGGGCAAGGAGGAAATGGCCAGAGGTCAGGCAAGGAGGACAGGAAATGGCCAGAGGTCAGGGCAAGGAGGAAATGGCCAGAGGTCAGGGCAAGGAGGAAATGGCCAGAGGTCAGGGCAAGGAGGACAAAATGGCCAGAGGTCAGGCAAGGAGGACAGGAAATGGCCAGAGGTCAGGAAAGGAGGACAGGAAATGGCCAGAGGTCAGGGCAAGGAGAACAGGAAATGGCCAGAGGTCAGGGCAAGGAGGACAGGATCTGACCAGAGGTCAGGCAAGGAGGACAGGAAATGGCCAGAGGTCAGGCAAGGAGGACAGGAAATGGCCAGAGGTCAGGGCAAGGAGGACAGGATCTGACCAGAGGTCAGGGCAAGGAGTACAGGATCTGACCAGATTTCAGGGCAAGGAGGACAGGATCTGACCAGATTTCAGGGCAAGGAGGACTGGATCTGACCAGATTTCATGGCAAGGACAGGATCTGACCAGATATCAGGGCAAGGAGGGCAGGATCTGACCAGATTTCAGGGCAAGGAGGGCAGGATCTGACCAGATTTCAGGGCAGGACGGCAGGGCAAGGAGGGGCAGGATCTGACCAGATTTCAGGGCAAGGACGGCAGGATCTGACCAGATTTCAGGGCAAGGACGGCAGGATCTGACCAGATTTCAGGGCAAAGAGGAAAGATCTGACCAGAGGTCAGGGCAAGGAGGGCAGGATATGACCAGATTTCAGGGCAAGTAGGACAGGCAATTACCAGATTTCAGGGCAAGGAGGGCAGGATATGACCAGAGGTCAGGGCAAGGAGGGCAGATATGACCAGATTTCAGGGCAAGTAGGACAAGGCAATTACCAGATTTCAGGGCAAGGAGGACAAGAAATGACCAGAGGTCAGGGCAAGTAGGACAGGAAATTACCAGATTTCAGGGCAAGGACGGCAGGATATGACCAGAGGTCAGGGCAAGGAGGACAAGAAATGACCAGAGGTCAGGGCAAGGAGGACAAGAAATGACCAGAGGTCAGGGCAAGGAGGACAAGAAATGACCAGAGGTCAGGGCAAGGACGACAAGAAATGACCAGAGGTCAGGGCAAGGACGACAAGAAATGACCATAGAATCAAAGAAAAGAGGACATGAGAATTAGTGTGAACTGCTAAGGGGGACAAAAAGCACCCCATTATATTCCATTTCCTGGGAGGGGGGGATATTGAAATAAAAAAGTAAAAAAACAGATCCCAAAAAAAGAGCCTTCAGCTCCTAAGAATCTCCCCACAGGAGACAAATCTAAAATGCTCTGGTCTCTAGTCCCAAGCTGTAGACACTCGAGGTTCAGCGCACATCACAGAATCCCCATGAAGTCTTCTCTGTGGGACACAGGTCTCTGAGATCCACCATATTCCACACCGCTTGGGGATGGATATGGAATTTATTAGAAGCCCTGATGACTTATTAAACAGGTTTGCATCTGCTGCGTTCGCCTGTTTGAATACATTGTGCGATTTGTTTTTGTGTTGGAGGCATGTCGTATCTCTTCCATTATTTATGACAAGCGCCGGCTCTGCCGAAGTAATTATAGCGTATTTCAAGCTCTGCGATTCCGGAATATCTTCTTCTAAATTAAAGTGCCGACGTCTCCTGCATACAGAGAGGAAGTTGACTGGACACCCTTTAGCGGATCACTTACGTAAACTTTTCCAGCGCTGTAAGAAGACGAGAGCGACGCTAAGCGAGGGCCTCTAAGCAGACCATTAATTGGATGGCTGCCGGCAGCGGCTTGAGGAGCCGTTAAATCTTTTATTCGCCGGTGAAGGTATCTCTGGAAGAGGTTTTCCGGCTGATTAATAAGGAAGGAATTTGTCTCAGAAGTTGTTTCCTCCTGACGGATAATTTATCGAGAGAAAAATATGATGGAATGATTTGCTTCTGCCGTCCCCGAGATTCGACCCTCAACAACGCAGTGAGGAGACTCAGCGAGAAGCCACCGGGGCGCTCTTCAACTCTTATTATGGGCTGGCTGAGAGGCCGTCAGTAAATAAATCCATTGATGAAACTTACTGACAAGCCAAGCTAACGGTAAACACCGGGCCTCACCTATCAGAGTGCCTGAAATAAGTACTGTCTGTGTTCTCTTCTGCTTCTTTGTAGATGAAATGAGAGAAGAGGGATCTTAGTAGCAACTTAAAAACTGACACTTTAAAAGAAAACCTCATCACATAATAAAGATAATTATTTCCATTGACATTCTCTGATTAATGCCAAACTCCAGGAATGAGACTAAATCTACCCTTGCAGTGGGGCTCCCGAACCCCCCCCTAAACACTGAACCCCCCCAACACTGACCCCCCCCCAACACTGAACCCCCCTCCCACACTGCAAGTATAAAATGCTGGGTGCAGGGAGGAGGTGGATCACCTATCACTGGCTCTGGCAGGATTCTTCAACCCTCTTCTCCTCATATACAATGAAGGGCTAATAGTCCTGCAAAGCATGTCACAGAGGGAACAATCCAAGCCCAAAGGTAGTCAGTCACAAGGGGAGAGGCCGCAACATTGTAACTTTGTAGTCGGTCACAAGGTGAGAGGCCGCAACATTGTAACTTTGTAGTTGGTCACAAGGTGAGAGGCGGCAACATTGTAACTTTGTAGTCGGTCACAAGGTGAGAGGCCGCAACATTGTAACTTTGTAGTTGGTCACAAGGTGAGAGGCGGCAACATTGTAACTTTTAGTGTCACAGTAAGAGGCTGCAACATTGTAACTTTGTAGTCGGTCACAAGGTGAGAGGCGGCAACATTGTAACTTTGTTGTCGGTCACAAGGTGAGAGGCTGCAACATTGTAACTTTGTAGTCGGTCACAAGGTGAGAGGCCGCAACATTGTAACTTTGTAGTCGGTCACAAGGTGAGAGGTGGCAACATTGTACTTTGTAGTCGGTCACAAGGTGAGAGGCGGCAACATTGTAACTTTGTAGTCGGTCACAAGGTGAGAGGCTGCAACATTGTAACTTTGTAGTCGGTCACAAGGCGAGAGGCCGCAACATTGACTTTGCAGTCAGTCACGGCAACATTGTAACTTTGTAGTCGGTCACAAGGTGAGAGGCGCAACATTGTAACTTTGTAGCCGGTCACAAGGCGAGAGAGGCCGCAACATTGTAACTTTGCAGTCAGTCACAAGGTGAGAGGCCGCAACATTGTAACTTTATAGTCGGTCACAAGGCAAGAGGCTGCAACATTGTAACTTTGTAGTCATTCACAAGGTGAGAGGCGGCAACATTGTAACTTTGTAGTCATTCACAAGGTGAGAGGCGGCAACATTGTAACTTTGTAGTCATTCACAAGGTGAGAGGCTGCAACATTGTAACTTTGTAGTCGGTCACAAGGTGAGAGGTGGCAAAATGAAGTTTCAACAGGAGACACGTTGACCCAAAACAAATCTGAGAACACTCCCTCATGAAGTACATCCCCCCCTTGAAGAACATTTCCCTTATGAAGGACATCCCCTCATGAAGGACATCCCCCCATTTTGAAGAACATCTCCCTAATGAAGGACATCCCCGCCCCACTTGAAGAACATCTCCCCCATGAAGGACATCCCCCCCATGAAGAACATCTCCCTACGAAGGACACCCCCCCTTGAAGAACATCTCCCCCATGAAGGACATTGCCCCCTTGAAGAACATCTCCCCCATGAAGGACATCCCCCCATGAAGAACATCCCTCCATATGAACCCCCCCCATGAAGGACATCCCTCCCCCTTGAAGAAACATCTCCCTCATGAAGGACATTTCCCCATGAAGGACATTTCCCCCATGAAGGACATTTCCCCCATGAAGGACATTTCCCATGAAGGACATTTCCCCCATGAAGGACATTTCCCCATGAAGGACATTTCCCCATGAATGACATTTCCCCCATGAAGAACATCCCTCCATATGAAACCCCCCCCCCCCATGAAGGACCCCTCCCCATGAAGGACATCCCTCCCCTTGAAGGAACATCTCCCTCATGAAGGACATTTCCCCCATGAAGGACATTTCCCCCATGAAGGACATTTCCCCATGAAGGACATTTCCCCATGAAGGACATTTCCCCCATGATGGACATCTACAATCACCTTCATCCACACAGGAAAGTAAAAAGGTACAAAAAACAAAACTGGACAAACTCCAATACAAGGACTAGTTCTCCTGCCTACAGAAGGCACATTTCTGGATGGGAGAAGTGAAGTGGGTGAGCTCAGTAATATTCACAGGCGGGGGGGGGGGGGGGATATCAGAATCACTTTTGGCAGATAAATAGTGATCATTTCCTTAGTGAGGGACATAGGAGTGACAGATGGGCCATGAAATGATTTGGTCATGGTGGCCGCTGTGTCCTGCCTCTTCTTTTCCTCCTAAACTGCTCGATGAATAATGAGTGGAATGTCAGATCGAGTGTCTTGTCCTCTCAGCGCACAGTTCCTTGTATTACACATGTCCGTAATTTAATAATCCAATATTTCCTACTCCGCACTCTACCTGAATGGATGAGATGGATCAGTGATCACCAGGGAGCTGTCTGGTGTAATGAGTGGAGCCATAATGGACCTGAGTACTAAGCAAAGGCCACGGCGCAGACTGCGCCCCCCGGAGGAAAACGTGTGCAGATTCATCATAATCAATGGGATTTATCCGGAAACTTGACAGATGTCTGGGGATTCCACATCCCAACAAAGTGTGTATATAGCAGTGAGCTCAACTCTCTTCATAGTGTGGCCCCTGACATCACTAAAAGGGACCCACACACATAATATTCAATGAATGATTTGCTAGAGAAAACTATCAGAGACTGCAGACGTACTTAAGGAGATGGTCAGAGACTATGGACATAGTACAGGAGACGGTCAGAGACTGCAGACGTACTTAAGGAGATGGTCAGAGACTATGGACATAGTACAGGAGACGGTCAGAGACTGCAGACGTACTTAAGGAGATGGTCAGAGACTATGGACATAGTACAGGAGACGGTCAGAGACTGCAGACCTACTACAGGAGATGGTCAGAGACTGCAGACATACTACAGGAGACGGTCAGAGACTGCAGACATACTACAGGAGATGGTCAGAGACTGCAGACATAGTATGGTAGACGGTCAGAGACTGCAGACCTACTACAGGAGACGGTCAGAGACTGCAGACATACTACAGGAGACGGTCAGAGACTGCAGACATACTACAGGAGATGGTCAGAGACTGCAGATATAGTACAGGAGATGGTCAGAGACTGCAGACATAGTACAGGAGATGGTCAGAGACTGCAGACATAGTACAGGAGACGGTCAGAGACTGCAGACATAGTACAGGAGATGGTCAGAGACTATGGACATAGTACAGGAGACGGTCAGAGACTGCAGACATAGTACAGGAGACGGTCAGAGACTGCAGACCTACTACAGGAGATGGTCAGAGAGTGCAGACATAGTACAGGAGACGGTCAGAGACTGCAGACCTACTACAGGGAGACGGTCAGAGACTGCAGACCTACTACAGGAGACGGTCAGAGACTGCAGATATAGTACAGGAGATGGTCAGAGACTGCAGACTTGGTACAGGAGATGGTCCGAGACTGCACACATAGTACAAAAGATGGTCAGAGACTGCAGACTTGGTACAGGAGATGGTCAGAGACTGCAGACATAGTACAGGAGATGACCAGAGACTGCGGACATAGTACAGGAGACGGTCAGAGACTGCAGACATAGTACAGGAGATGGTCAGAGACTGCAGACATAGTACAGGAGATGGTCAGAGACTGCAGACATAGTACAGGAGATGGTCAGAGACTGCACACATAGTACAGGAGATGGTCAGAGACTGCAGACATAGTACAGGAGACGGTCAGAGACTGCAGACATAGTACGGGAGACGGTCAGAGACTGCAGACCTACTACAGGAGACAGTCAGAGACTGCGGACATACTACAGGAGATGGTCAGAGACTGCAGACATAGTACAGGAGATGGTCAGAGACTGCAGACTTGGTACAGGAGATGGTCAGAGACTGCAGACATAGTACAGGAGATGGTCAGAGACTGCAGACTTGGTACAGGAGATGGTCAGAGACTGCAGACTTGGTACAGGAGATGGTCAGAGACTGCAGTCTTGGTACAGGAGATGACCAGAGACTGCAGACATAGTACAGAAGATGGTCAGAGAGTGCAGACTTGGTACAGGAGATGGTCAGAGACTGCAGACCTACTACAGGAGATGGTTAGAGACTGCAGACATAGTACAGGAGATGTCAGAGACTGCAGACATAGTACAGGAGACAGTGAGAGACTGTAGACATAGTACAGCAGAAGGTCAGAGACTGCAGACACAGTACAGGAGATGGTCAGAGACTGCAGACATAGTACAGGAGATGGTCAGAGACTGCAGACATAGTACAGGAGACGGTCAGAGACTGCAGACATAGTACAGGAGACGGTCAGAGACTGCAGACATAGTACAGGAGACGGTCAGAGACTGCAGACATAGTACAGGAGACGGTCAGAGACTGCAGACATAGTACAGGAGACGGTCAGAGACTGCAGACATAGTACAGGAGATGGTCAGAGACTGCAGACATGGTACAGGAGACGGTCAGAGACTGCAGACATAGTACAGGAGACGGTCAGAGACTGCAGACATGGTACAGGAGATGGTCAGAGACTGCAGACATAGTAAAGGAGATGGTCAGAGACTGCAGACATAGTAAAGGAGATGGTCAGAGACTGCAGACATGGTACAGGAGATGGTCATGGCTCCAGCTTACTGTGAACATGTGAGGCAAGGATGATGGAAGCTGAATACTCAGTAAGTGGTGAAATCAGATGAAGCTTTTCTGATAGATGCTCTAGTTACTGTATAGTGTAACATGTCAGAATTGTAAGCTTGCAGATTCATATAGTGAAAGGTCCGTATGATACTATCTCTGACTACAACAGTGTGATGTGATCCTAAAACCACAATATGTTGCCAGCATTAAGTTGTCTTTTTATACCGAGCCATGACAGAATGCATGTGTATTGGTAAACATTCATTAACATCAAATACGACGATACATGATAATTGGATCGTCTGTCCCCCTGATTGTTACCCAGCTGCCCCTTGTATTAGTCCCCCAGCCGGCCGCCATGTATCTGAGCCATAGTCCTTTGTGCCATAATGATACATATCACAGTGTATTGGTCAACATGCATTTCCATGGAATACAATGATACATGGCAGCACAGTGGCTAAATGGTTAGCACTTCCCCCTGGCAGTACTCGGGTCGTTGGTTCGAATCCCAACCACGGCACCACCTGCCTGGAGTTTGCATGTTCTCCCTGTGCTTGAGTGGGTTTCCTCCGGGTACTCCGGTTTCCTCCCACATTCCAAAGGCATGCTGGTAGGTGAATTGCATCCTGTCTAAATTGTCCCTAGTATGTGTATGTATGAATGTGAGTTAGGGACCTTAGATTGTACGCCCCTTGAGGGTTAGGGACTGATGTGAATGTACAATATACATGTAAAGTGCTGTGTAAATTGACGGCGCCATACAAGTACCTGAAATACATAAATATATAATAATTATACAATGTATCATCTTTTCCCCTGATTGTTACCCAGCTGCCCCTTGTATTAGCCCCCCAGCCGGCCGCCATGTATCTGAGCCATGGTCCTTTGTGCCATAATGATACATATCACAGTGTATTGGTGAACATTCATTTCCATGGAATACAATGATACACAATAATTATACAATGTATCATCTTTTCCCCTGATTGTTACCCAGCTGCCCCTTGTATTAGCCCCCTATCCGGCCGCCATGTATCTGAGCCATAGTCCTTTGTGCCATAATGATACATATCAGAGTACTGGTGAACATTCATTTCCATGGAATACAATGATACACAATAATTATACAATGTATCATCCCCCCCCCCCGATTGTTACCCAGCTGCCCTTTGTATTAGCCCCCCAGCCGCCCACCATGTATCTGAGCCATAGTCCTTTGTGCCATAATGATACATATCAGAGTACTGGTGAACATTCATTTCCATGGAATACAATGATACACAATAATTATACAATGTATCATCCCCCCCCCGATTGTTACCCAGCTGCCCCTTGTATTAGCCCCCCAGCCACCCACCATGTATCTGAGCCATGGTCCTTTGCTCCGGTGAGGGCTATTACAATTGGGGAATGGCTGTGACCTGAGCGCTCGGAGGAGAGGATTGGGAGCTTGTCTGAGGATTGAAGTGTATTCCTGGAAGATTTCATTGCAGATAGCGGAGGAGGAAGACGCGGCGAGTACGTTCCCCGCGCTCTCACAAGCCGGGCCCCAGTTTTACTGATGATGAAAAATGACTCGAGTGCTCTAAGCTTGGGGACTCTTGGCTGCCATAAATATTCATGTGACACCATCTGCCGCAATCCGCACCGGGCCCCGCCACCCCGCTCCGGGCATATGTGGAAACTTTCTAAATTAGGTTCTTCTCACTAACGTACGTTACACCGCCTCCCGCCTCCCGCGGTTAGAATGGACGCACGGGGAGGGGGGGGGGGGGTATGATTGCCATTAATCGCTGGACACAGGGATTTAATGGCTTCCTATGGAGTGCACTATGTAATAGCGATTAATCGATAATTGCACAGTGCTCCGAATGTATGCCACCATGAAACAATACTCCCTGCATCTACTGTATATCTGGGGTGATCGATCGCTATTGATTATTACTGGACAATTTTAGTACTTGAAAAGTGCCATCAAGAATCGCCCGCCTGCAAAGCTGAACTCCAGGCACATATAGAAGACACAATAATACAGCCTTGAATTCCGGTCTACGCCATTAAATCTACTTTTTTTTTTCAGCATAAGAACCTGATGTTGGCTTGGCATCGGCATCCTGCTGTCCATGTGCAGCAGAGCTCAGACTTGGAGAAAGAGAAGCAGCACAAAGAGCCAATCAGCAGTGCTACAGTGCTTTTGTACCAATAGGAGAGAGAGACAGCAGAATGAGACAGATGAGCTCATCAGTCCGCCGCTTCTCCTTCCACCATCCAATCACAGGCTGGGGAGGGATAAGTGTTACCAAATTTGCAATGGGGAAAAAAAAAATCAGGTTTTGTGCCCTGCCAGACAGGGTGGTGCTGTGTGACAGACCTGGGAAAACTTCAGGACTGGATGGACAAACCCAGTCTTGAATTTGAATAAATCAAATCCCTTGGCAGATAAAACATCTCCTATATATGTATTTAATCTGTTTATTTAGTTGTTTGCCTGGATTTCAGCTTTATGAATGACCATGTCCTCATGGAAAAGTAAGCTACTGAAGCAAAAAAGGACTGCTGAGGTCATTTACAACCAATCAGGTCAAAGTCACAGAGCAGCAGCTAAAGTAATAATGCAGTTATAGTTAGAGTGACCACCAACTCCAGAGGGGGATACAGAGTGACCACCAACTCCAGAGGGGGATACAGAGTGACCACCAACTCCAGAGGGGGATACAGAGTGACCACCAACTCCAGAGGGGGATACAGAGTGACCACCAACTCCAGAGGGGGATACAGAGTGACCACCAACTCCAGAGGGGGATACAGAGTGACCACCAACTCCAGAGGGGGATACAGAGTGACCACCAACTCCAGAGGGGGATACAGAGTGACCACCAACTCCAGAGGGGGATAGAAAGTGACCACCAACTCCAGAGGGGGATACAGAGTGACCACCAACACCAGAGGGGGATAGAGAGTGACCACCAACTCCAGAGGGGGATACAGAGTGACCACCAACTCCAGAGGGGGATAGAGAGTGACCACCAACTCCAGAGGGGGATAGAGAGTGACCACCAACTCCAGAGGGGGATACAGAGTGACCACCAACTCCAGAGGGGGATACAGAGTGACCACCAACTCCAGAGGGGGATACAGAGTGACCACCAACCCCAGAGGGGGATAGAAAGTGACCACCAACTCCAGAGGGGGATACAGAGTGACCACCAACTCCAGAGGGGGATAGAGAGTGACCACCAACTCCAGAGGGGGATACAGAGTGACCACCAACTCCAGAGGGGGATACAGAGTGACCACCAACTCCAGAGGGGGATACAGAGTGACCACCAACTCCAGAGGGGGATACAGAGTGGCCACCAACTCCAGGGGGGGATACAGAGTGACCACCAACTCCAGAGGGGGATACAGAGTGACCACCAACCCCAGAGGGGGGTACAGAGTGACCACCAACCCCAGAGGGGGATAGAGAGTGACCACCAACTCCAGAGGGGGATAGAAAGTGACCACCAACTCCAGATGGGGATACAGAGTGACCACCAACTCCAGAGGAGGATACAGAGTGACCGCCAACTCCAGAGGGGGATACAAAGTGACCGCCAACTCCAGAGGGGGTTACAAAGTAACCACCAACTCCAGAGGGGGATACAAAGTGACCACCAACTCCAGAGGGGGTTACAAAGAGACCACCAACTCCAGAGGGGGTTACAAAGAAACCACCAACTCCAGAGGGGGATACAAAGTGACCGCCAACTCCAGAGGGGGATACAGAGTGACCACCAACTCCAGAGGGGGATACAGAGTGACCACCAACCCCAGAGGGGGGTACAGAGTGACCACCAACCCAGAGGGGGATAGAGAGTGACCACCAACTCCAGAGGGGGATAGAAAGTGACCACCAACTCCAGATGGGGATACAGAGTGACCACCAACTCCAGAGGAGGATACAGAGTGACCGCCAACTCAAGAGGGGGATACAAAGTGACCGCCAACTCCAGAGGGGGTTACAAAGTAACCACCAACTCCAGAGGGGGATACAAAGTGACCACCAACTCCAGAGGGGGTTACAAAGAGACCACCAACTCCAGAGGGGGTTACAAAGAAACCACCAACTCCAGAGGGGGATACAAAGTGACCGCCAACTCCAGAGGGGGATACAAAGTGACCACCAACTCCAGAGGGGGATACAAAATGACCGCCAACTCCAGAGGGGGATACAAAGTGACCGCCAACTCCAGAGGGGGATACAAAGTGACCGCCAACTCCAGAGGGGGATACAAAATGACCGCCAACTCCAGAGGGGGATACAAAGTGACCGCCAACTCCAGAGGGGGTTACAAAGAAACCACCAACTCCAGAGGGGGATACAAAGTGACCGCCAACTCCAGAGGGGGATACAAAGTGACCGCCAACTCCAGAGGGGGTTACAAAGAAACCACCAACTCCAGAGGGGGATACAAAGTGACCGCCAACTCCAGAGGGGGATACAAAGTAACCACCAACTCCAGAGGGGGATACAAAGTGACCGCCAACTCCAGAGGGGGATACAAAGTGACCGCCAACTCCAGAGGGGGATACAAAGTGACCGCCAAGTCCAGAGGGGGTTACAAAGTGACCGCAGAGTGACCACAGTAAGTAGAATTTAAAAAGCACAGTAAATGAATCTGAAACCTTCAGAGCTGCTGCGGGGAGGAGTTTAATGAACGTGGCGCCATAGGAGCGCGGCCCTCTCTCCGCCAGATGAAATGAGCCACTTTGGGTAAAGTTCAGGCAGTAATAAGACGCTGAACAAGCTGCCATTTTCCCGGCTGCCGCGAATCCTCCTCCAGATAACCGATAAAAGGGCTCGTACAGAAGGCACATCAGAATGCATTTAAATGAGCCTCAAGTCCCACATTATGCCGGCTGACGCATGCAGCAGATGGGTACCTTTGCCTCTGTAATTCTTCTCATTACCTTGCAAAATGCAAACCGGCACGACACGAAAAAATAAAAAAAAGTTACTTATTGCCAAGATTTATATCCCAGGAATTCACCTTCTTATCGATGCAAACTGCGCCACTTTGTGTCACCTGTACGAGGTGTGAGTGATCGCTCGCTATTGTGCAGACGGATTTTTTTTTCGGGCTTCTGCATAAGTTTCCAGCTGCCGCGTACGAGGGTAGATTCGCTAACAATGGGTTTAAATCATCGTGTCTTTGTCGCCCTGTTGCTGGAAATTAAAAGCGTAAAGGACTTCTTTTTTTATTTTTAATCCCCCCCTCACCCCCCCCCTTCCTCGGTCTCAGATGCAAGTGAACGATGATGTCTCTGAAAATCTAATTAAACGGAGCCACTCTCTGGGCATAAAACAGGCCGGAGACGCAGAAAACGAATGTATTCAATTTACCTGATAGAGCCGCTTCACATAATGAAGGCTTTGTTTGGTAAAAGCTCTTTAAAAAAAAAATCAAATTATTTTACTTCTTTTCTTGTCATTATCCCGAGCTGTCTCTCGTAACTCAGTCTTCAAATTAAAAAAACTAAAGAAAAAAAAAAAGAGCCAGACGCACCAGGGAAATTTGGGAAGGCGCAGTAAACAGCGCTGTGTGAAGACGTAGGACGTGTGCTGTAGATTGGATGACATGTATAGGCAATCTCAAAGAAGAAAAGACTAGTTTTAGGATACAATGGGGAAGAGTGGGCTCTAGAAAAGGTTTTCCTAGGTTGTGGCCCTAGAAAAGATAGGGCTCCCATAGGGCCCCTTGTCCTTACATCTTTCAGTTAGGTGACCCATTTGTTAAAAAGACCGAATTCCAGTTTAGATTCAGCCCTTCACCTCCCGGCTGGCTGTCCTTAACCCCCTGACGCCGACTGTACGCAAATATGCGGCCTATTGGCGGCTGGACCTTGACGCCGAGCGGCAGCATATTTGTGTACCATTTGAAAACACATATGTGCTGAGAGCACGCCCAGCACATACAGTGGGGATGGAAAGTTTGGGCACCCCAGCTAAAAATGTGTATTAATGTGCATAAAGAAGCCAAGGAAAGATGGAAAAATCTCTCCAAAAGGCATCAAATTACAGATTAGACATTCTTATAATATGTCAACAAAAGTTAGATTTTATTTCCATCAATTACACTTTCAAAATAACAGAAAACAAAAAAATGGCGTCTGCAAAAGTTTGGGCGCCCTGCAGAGTTAATATCTTGTACTGCCCCCTTTGGCAAGTATCACAGCTTGTAAACGCTTTTTGTAGCCAGCCAAGAGTCTTTCAGTTCTTGTTTGAGGTATCTTTGCCCATTCTTCCTTACAAAAGTCTTCCAGTTCTGTGAGATTTCTGGGCTGTCTGTCACGCACGGCTCTTTTAAGGTCTATCCATAGATTTTCAATGATGTTGAGGTCAGGAGATTGTGAAGGCCATGGAAAAACCTTCAGTTTACGCCTCTTGATGTAATCCCCCGTGGATTTCGAGGTGTGTTTAGGATCATTAACCATTTGTAGAAGCCATCCTCTCTTTAACTTCAGCTTTTTCACAGATGGCATCAAGTTACCATCCAGAATTTGCTGAAATTTTATTGAATCCATTTTTCCTTCTACTTGTGAGATGTTCCCTGTGCCACTGGCTGCAACACAACCCCAAAGTATGATTGATCCAACCCCATGCTTCACAGTTGGACAGAGGTTCTTTTCATTAAATTCTGTGCCCCTTCTTCCCCAAACGTACCTTTGCTCATTACGGCAAAAAAGTTCAATTTTAACCTCATCGGTCCACAGAACTTGTTTCCAAAATGCATCAGCCTTGTCTATATGTTCATTTGCAAAGTTCAAACGATGATTTTTGTGGTGAGGACGTAGAAGAGGTTTTCTTCTGATGACTCTTCCATGAAGACCATATTTGTACAAGTATCTCTTTAAAGTGGAATAGTGACCACAACTCCAGTGTCTGCCAGATCTTTCTGGAGGGATTGTGCAGTCAAACGTGGGTTTTGAATTGTTTTTCTCACAATCCTGCGAGCTGTTCTGTCTGATATTTTTCTTGGTCTTCCAGATGTTGCTTTAACTTCCACTGTTCCTGATGACTGCCATTTCTTAATTACATTCCGAACAGAGGATATCGACATCTGAAAACGCTTTGCTATCTTCTTATAGACTTCTCCAGCTTTGTGAGCGTCAGCTATTTTCAGTTTCAGTTTTCTAGACAACTGCTTAGAAGAACCCATGGTGCTGATTGTTGGGGCAAGGTCAGATGAGTCTGGGCATTTAAAACCTTTGAGATTGACATCACCTGGTCTTCCCAGACGATGATTGAGAACAATCCATGACACTGGCAGGTCTCAGCTTGGCAAAGGGGGCAGTGCATGCTATAAATTCTGCAGGGGGCCCAAACTTTTGCAGACGCCATTTTTTTTTGTTTTCTGTTATTTTGAAAGTGTAAATGATGGAAATAAAATCTAACTTTTGTTGACATATTATAAGAATGTCTAATCTGTAATTTGATGCCTTTTGGAGATTTTTCCATCTTTCCTTGGCTTCTTTATGCACATTAATACAAATTTTTAGCTGGGCTGCCCAAACTTTCGATCCCCACTGTATGTCGGTGTCTCACGGAAAGGTCCCGATCTCCCCTTGCAGTCGGGATATTTTCCATTCATTCCATTCCATTCAAATATCCCGACTGCAAGGGGAGATCGGGACCTTTCCATTCATGTGACCGCCGTGACAGTGGCTCAGGGCCCCCGAGTAGTCCCCTGGATGGCTATGCCGGGGCCATACACGTGAACCGTCCTTCTTTCTGATTGCTGGGATTCGGTATTCAGGTGTAATGGTCTGTGCTGCCATCAGTGGAGCGCCGGCGCTGTCAGGGGGACGTCTCTGGGGTGTCATTGATGGATGATCTATCAATAGCGCACTTGACTCATCCACACGGAATTTATGGACTCGCTGGGACACACGTTATCATCGCTGCTCATCCAACTAGAAAAGTTCAAGAGCCGCTCGGAGAACGGCAGGAATAAAAGGCGAGAGCGCTGTGCCTTAAACACACACGGAAATGAAGACGGCAGAGTGAAGACTAATGAGGCTTGTGCTTCCATGCAGGAGGGGTGGTAAAACAACGTCATCTAAATACAAGAGCCGTGTCCATCCTTCCCTGGTGCGCTACATTAGCATATAAGCACTTAACATTGACATCTAACCTTCCAGAAAATCATTTGTTTTCTTTATCGGAGATCTTTGTGTATTCCCTCCAGATCTGTGCCGTCGTCCAGGGTGAGACTTCCTGGAATAAAGACCGCTCACTGCTGCGCTCTCTGCTTGTGGTCTCTGCAGGCAACCTGTAGTGGGTGGAGCCTGATGGGCCCCTCCCACAGCTCTGCTCTCTCTCCTTGTGCAGGGTGACCGGTCTAGTGTCCACCCCCTCCTGTAGATTTTTTTCCCCAGGCAGCCTGTAGTGGGTGGAGCCTGCTAGGCCCCTCCCACAGCTCTGCTATGTACAGCACTGTGGTGATGTCACTACTACTTATACAAGGTAATATGTGGGTTTGTAAAGGCTTTTGAGGCACAAAAAGTGGATTTATATCCTTTGCGACTATTGAGGAATATTTATTTATATAAAATGTTGCACAGCCAGAGTTCAAGTTAAAAGGGCCACTAAAAACTTCAAAAATGAATAACCCTCATCATTTTTTTTTTATTAAGCTACTGCTACAACCTGCTATCACCAATAGTGTGGTGGCAACAATCTGCAGGTTCACAAGGCCTCTGCACCGTTGCCACCATACTGCGCATGCGTGTCTACACAGCTTACCATAAAGGAAATCCCCCAACTGGATGCTAGGGCCTGGTTGAGGGTGGGGCTAAGCTGCAGTAGGTCACATGTCCTGGGACAACTCACCTTTTTCAGTCCTTCCCCCAAGGCTATGGAAATGGATTGGAACTGTGAGTAAAAGGATCTGATCCACCCAGGGCGTGGTGGGCGCGTCATATCTTTGACTGACAGTTCCACTCTGCTTTGCATGGCTTGGGGGCAAGGCCTGAAAAAGTTGGGCAATGTTACGGGACATATGACCTGCTCCGGCTTAGCTCTGTCCCCAGCCCGGGCTGTGCTGCAGGGGGGAAAGTGTGAAAATGTCATGTGACCACCACTTTGGAAGAGATTACAAGGCATTTAATACTAGACTACTAAATCAGTGGCTGCTAGTGGCCCTTTCATCCAGATGTGGGTGCACTAGTAAGGTTTAATGTGAGATTCTGGAGCCAAATGGTCAATTGTAGAATTCATTGAAAGCTTTTAGGGTACAACCAGGAGTGAAGCTGGAACCTTGTTGGAGATCCAGCAGAAGGAACGTTGCTGCTGAGAGAGTGTCCTGGAGAGCATGGTAGAAGCTGATGCCGGTGGACATTGCAGAAAGACTGGTGGCTCAACTGAAAGGGTACTGGTACTGCCTTAAGCTGCTCAGCAGCCTATAGCAGCCTTTCTCAACCAGGGTTCTTCCAAAGATTGCTGGGGGTTCCCTTTATCTGTGGCTGACTGACCTCCCATCTGTTGGTGTCTGCATAATTCTGCCAATGCGTGACACCAGTAATCATTTTAGCTGTCTGCAAGGAGGGCATTCTGTCCACCATGGTACAGGGGGACATTCTTCCCACTGATCACCGATGTAAGGGACATTCTTCCCACTGACCTCCAATGTAAGGGACATTCTTCCCACTGATCACCAATGTAAGGGACATTCTTCCCACTGACCTCCAATGTAAGGGACATTCTTCCCACTGACCTCCAAGGTAAGGGACATTCTTCCCACTGACCCCCAATGTAAGGGACATTCTTCCCACTGACCCCCAATGTAAGGGACATTCTTCCCACTGACCCCCAATGTAAGGGACATTCTTCCCACTGACCACCAATGTAAGGAACATTCTTCCCACTGACCCCCAATGTAAGGGACATTCTTCCCACTGACCACCAATGTAAGGAACATTCTTCCCACTGACCCCCCCAATGTAAGGGACATTCTTCCCACTGATCACCAATGTAATGGACATTCTTCTCACTGACCCCCAATGTAAGGAACATTCTTCCCACTGACCCCCAATGTAAGGGACATTCTTCCCACACTGACCCCCAATGTAAGGGACATTCTTCCCACTGATCACCAATGTAAGGGACATTCTTCCCACTGACCACCAATGTAAGGGACATTCTTCGCACTGACCTCCAATGTAAGGGACATTCTTCCCACTGACCACCAATGTAAGGGACATTCTTCTCACTGACCCCCCAATGTAAGGGACATTCTTCACACTGACCCCCAATGTAAGGGACATTCTTCCCACTGTCCACCAATGTAAGGGACATTCTTCCCACTGATCACCAATGTAAGGGACATTCTTCCCACTGATCACCAATGTAAGGGACATTCTTCCCACTGACCACCAATGTAAGGGACATTCTTCCCACTGACCCCCAATGTAAGGGACATTCTTCCCACTGACCTCCATTGAAGGAGGCATTATTCCCATTGTCCATGTCAGGTCAGGGGCCGAGGAACGGACAGGCAGGCCTAACAATGTAACGCACTGGCTGACGACAACCACCACCCACAGACCGAAGTCCCTCAGGGCGCGGAGTCTAAGTCCCAGGCTGCCCTTCACCAGGGCCCCTGATGGTGGGGATGGACTTGACGCAACCAGGAACCAGGTCGCGGCCCCCGAGACACCTCAGCTGCGGTAATGGCCACCGCCAATGGCGTGTAGCTGGTGGAAGAGACAAAAGAGTAGTCAGACAAGCCGGGTCAACAACAACAGGACAAAACAGTACAGGACAGCAGACGAGAATCACAGGTCACGAGCAACAGAGGGTCAGATCAAAGGAGAATACAAAGAATAGTCAAGTCACAAGCCGAATCAGATACCAGGAGAGTCACGAAAGTCAGAACAGAGTAATAGCGACACAAAGAAACAAGACACAAGTGCAAAGAGCATGTGCGGGCCACAGGCTTATATTTCATCAGCCACGCCCCTCTGGGGGATGGACCACAGAGACCTGAAGGCATAAAAGGATTCCCACCATGCACAGCAGAATCCAAGATGGATGCCAGCACATGGAGTAACATAACCTCAGGGAAAAGGTAGGACCTTGACAGTCCACCAATGTAAGGAGCATTCTTCTCACTTGCCACCAATGTAAGGGACATTCTTCCCACTGACCCCCAATGTAAGGGACATTCTTCCCACTGATCACCAATGTAAGGGACATTCTTCTCACTTGCCACCAATGTAAGGGACATTCTTCCCACTGGCCACCATTGAAGGAGGCATTATTCCCATTGTCCACCAATGTAAGGAGCATTCTTCTCACTTGCCACCAATGTAAGGGACATTCTTCCCACTGATCACCAATGTAAGGGACATTCTTCTCACTTGCCACCAATGTAAGGGACATTCTTCCCACTGACCACCATTGAAGGAGGCATTATTCCATTGTCCACCAATGTAAGGAGCATTCTTCTCACTTGCCACCAATGTAAGGGACATTCTTCCCATTGGCCACCATTGAAGGAGGCATTTTTTCCATTCACCACCAATAAATTGGTTTTAGCTGAGGTTCCCCAACACCTGAAAATGATTTCAAGGGTTCCTTGGGAGTAAAAAGATTAAGGGTCTCACTCTCCTCATTGGATTTATTACTTATTTTGTATACTATGGAGAATACTCCTGGAGGAGCGGGACCCCTAACAGGCAGATTTCACCCCCCGTTCCCATCATACTCCACCTATGACCCTCACGTTGGATAGGCTGAGCATCTGCATAAGGCAGCCTGAGAAGAGAGTGATACGCCGCGGCAGGGCGATGAGAACGTTGGGAAGCTTTGTGCGTCATTCTCCTGACTTTCCCGGCTCTCATCCTCCAGAGTGCTGTTGTGGCATGTTTAGAACATCTCCAGGAGGGTAATATGATCAGGAAAGGATGACATGAATGTCAGAAATGACACACACAGCAATCATATCTCCACAACAAAGGAGGAGGAACGCACGCTGCAATCTACTCCGGAGGAAATGGGAACGAGATGAAACACGGATTTAAAGTAACAGTCCTTTTAGGAGGATTCTGGATGGAAAAATAGCTAAATACGACCATGGAAGCAACATAGAGGAGACTGTCTTACCTGGCGGAAAATGTATGAATAATCAGGTGTATCGATTTATTATCCATCAGTCTGGTTACGCTGGATGGCATCGAATAAAGAAGGTGATCGCCAACTAGGGCCACTGCCCTGCCTACTGACGGCTGTTTAGGCTCCTTTAATGAGAGGCTCCATTTCCCTTTTGCAAGACCACATAAGCACCGCCCCTTCTGGATGATCAATTCACAAAGCAGGCACTCCCAATGCCAGCCTGATTTCATCATTCAGTAGGTGTGTGCCCCAAACTACATAACAGACCTGATACCCAAATACTACCCTACCCGTGCCCTCCGCTCCTCACAGGACCTCCTACTCTCTAGCTCCCTGGTCTCCTCCTCCCACGCCCGATTGCAGGACTTCTCTAGGACTTCCCCCATCCTCTGGAACTCCCTACCCCAATCCATCAGACTGTCACCTACCCTCCTCACCTTCAGGCGCACCCTGAAAACCCTCCTCTTCAGGGAAGCCTACCCCAACCTCACCTAACACCTGACCTCACCTAACAACCTCCTCCACTCCTCCCCACTCCATCCCCCACAGCCACTTCCTCCTGTACCACCTTCCCCTCCCTCCTAGATTGTGAGCTCGAAAGAGCAGGGCCCTCGAACCCCTCATGTATTGTATTGTTACTGTCTTGTCTCATGTTCTGTCCCCCTCACTACTGTACAGCAAACCCTTTGGGGCTATATAAATACTGTATAATAATAATAATTATCTTCTGTTGGTTTATCAGTCTGCCACCTGCCTCAACTGTCTGCCTATGTTAGGACTCGGCCTGAACGCTGCCTGCCCTGACTGATGCCCGTCTTTGGGCTACGCTCCTCCTTGTTGATTTGATACGTTTTGTCCCATTTTCTACTTTTATCTGTTGCCACAACCAGCTAATATCACACAATAAACTCCAAACCATTTGGCCGAAATCCCTGGGAGAATCAAGTAAACTCTTCCAATCAACGATGACTATTTGTAATCCTTATGGTGCTAGCCTCAGTGCATATAGGAAAGTAAATCCAATTTACACTTTTTTTTCTAATTTCTTCAGTTACTTCCTGGTTTCTGGCCTAGGCAAATGATGTCATACATCCCAGGAGTCTTCAGGACGGGTGGATGGCTTTTCTCAGCTAAGCACACCTTCCTTCGTGCATACCTGAGCTAAGGGCAGATGGATTCAAGGAAGACAAATGTGACATGTATAATCTGCCCTCAGCAAAATAAAGCTTTAAAGGGGTTCCAAGTCTACCACTGGCGACAAAGAGCATCCACCACTATCCATGATGCCGGCCTCTTATTATAAAGGCTAACTTGCCATCATGGCTGAGTGCCAGGTTTTCACCCCTTAAACGTACAAAATAACTTTTTATAGAAATAATTAAAAAAAAACAAAACAATGAAAAGGATTCGATTCCAAAAATAAACAATGAAATTGACAAAAAAAACAGAATATTCTCTAAAACTGACAACCTTGCGTAAGAATTCTTCCATGAATCTCATGAATGTTCTCAGGTGACAGAAGAAAAGAGAGATGATTCACTTTAAAGCAAACTAAGTAAATAAATGAAGAGCTGACATGCAGTCGGCATGGACAGTGCGGCCAGAGGATGAAATATTCATCTGGATGTCTGTTTGATGCAGGGATTCTGCCTCATTGCTATTCCCGGGATGAAGGGCACTCTGTTGGTCCCAGACATGGTGCCAGAATAACAGAGGGCTGCAGTATCTCAGGGGTGATTGACTAAGAAATGGGACATCACATAGTCAACCCAGAGTTTGGTCCTTTCTATTATGGAGATAATTGAATAGCTGGAGGGGCTGCACAGGGAATGCAGTCATCAAAAGGCACTTTCATCACCGAATAACCCTCCTCTACTCGGTTTTTGTATGCCTCCATTAAACATGGCGAGGAATTCATAAATACAGACCAGCAGAACTCTTCAGAATTTGGGGACCACATGAGCATGGTCAACACAAGCTGAAGCCTGTAATGGCTGTACACAACATTTAAAAAAAATACAGTGGTGGAGATGTTAGAGGGTACCTGAGCATAAAGTACAAACCAGTATGACTGAATGTTGGGTTGTAGCTACATGGTGTCATCTAGCAGTGCTACCACCTGAACCTTCCATCCAAGCAGTGCTATCAGCTCAACACTCCATCTGAACAGTGCTATCAGCTCAACCCTCCATCTGAACAGTGCTATCAGCTCAACCCTCCATCTGAACAGTGCTATCAGCTCAACCCTCCATCTGAACAGTGCTATCAGCTCAACCCTCCATCTGAACAGTGCTATCAGCTCAACCCTCCACCTCAGTAGTGCTATCAGCTCAACCCTCCACCTCAGCAGTGCTATCAGCTCAACACTCCACCTGAACAGTGCTATCAGCTCAACCCTCCACCTGAACAGTGCTATCAGCTCAACCCTCCATCTGAGCAGTGCCATCAGCTCAACCCTCCACCTGAACAGTGCTATCAGCTCAGCCCTCCACCTCAGCAGTGCTATCAGCTCAACCCTCCATCTGAGCAGTGCTATCAGCTCAACCCTCCACCTGAGCAGTGCTATCAGCTCAACCCTCCACCTGAACAGTGCTATCAGCTCAACCCTCCATCTGAACAGTGCTATCAGCTCAACCCTCCACCTGAACAGTGCTATCAGCTCAACCCTCCATCTGAACAGTGCTATCAGCTCAACCCTCCGTCTGAACAGTGCTGTCAGCTCAACCCTCCATCTGAACAGTGCTGTCAGCTCAACCCTCCATCTGAACAGTGCTGTCAGCTCAACCCTCCATCTGAACAGTGCTATCAGCTCAACCCTCCATCCAAGCAGTGCTATCTTCTCCACCCTCCAACCAAGAAGTGCTATCATCTCCACCCTCCATCCAAGCAGATCTATCAGTTCAACACTCCATCTAAGCAGTTCTATCAGCTCAACCCCTAATCCAAGCAGTGCTGTCAGCTCAACCCTCCATCTAAGCAGTTCTATCAGCTCAATGCTCCATCCAAGCAGTGATATTAGCTCAAACCCTCCATGCAAGCAGTGCTATCATCTCCACCCCCCAGCCAAGCAGTGCTATCATCTCCACCCTCCATCCAAGCAGTGCTATCATCTCCACCCCCCCAGCCAAGCAGTGCTATCATCTCCACCCTCCATCCAAGCAGTGCTATCATCTCCACCCTCCATCCAAGCAGTGCTATCATCTCCACCCTCCATCCAAGCAGTGCTATCATCTCCGCCCTCCATCCAAGCAGTGCTATCATGTCCACCCTCCATCCAAGCAGTGCTATCATCTCCGCCCTCCATCCAAGCAGTG